TGGTTCCTTTGTTAACAAGCCAGTCTGATCCTTTTCATGAGAGTTACGCTCCCTTAAACTCTTTAAGCTGAAATCCTTAAGATTGTTCCTCAAGGGACAGGGATTTAGCTCAGAGGTGTAAAAAAAAAGATTGCTCTTTAAGGTACTCTAGTGTCGAGACTGTCATGCCTTACCTGAGAGAGATCCTCACAGCAAAAATGCACCCTTCCCCAAACAGGAAACTATTAAATGGCCATGTTGCCTCTGGCAAATTGAACAGATCACTCTAAAGAAAATTTAGGACAGGATATACAATCTCCCAGGCACTGAGAATTCTCATATTACTACATACCTATGTTATAGGCAGCTGAGATAAACAGAAACTTTATAGCAAATCAGATAGGGCTAGGCCCTCCAGGGAGCTAGCACAGAGGACCAGATGTCTTTTGACCTTGGAGGAGATACACATCTGCTGTGGGCCAGATCCCAAGCCAAAAGGCAAAACAAATGCAGCCACATCCTAAGTATAATTTATACATTAGGGATGGATATTCTAAATAGGTATGGATCCCTTAAAAAAGCCAGAAACTACCATCCCAATGCCCTATAGAAAGTCACTGCTCTGTAAGAATGCTGCGATAACTCGGACCCCGGTATAAAATCTAAGGAAGCAAGAAATTAAAATTTGGGAAGCAAAGGCTTTATTTCCAGGCCTGGTGACACAGCCTCCAGGAGCCAATTTGAAGACTGCGCACCTGACAGCTAAAAATCAGGGCTTTTACCTTGTAAATCCACAAACAGCTGCTGGCCACACAATGTAAGGAGGGGGGTTGGGGGTGTGGCGCACTACAAAACAGAAACAGTGATTGCAAGTCTCCCTGCGTACTAGCAAGTTTAGATAAGAAGAAATCTTGTTTTTCTTAGCAAAGAATAGAGAAGTCTAACAGCAATTAACAACCTTAGTTACCTTTCTTTAGCACCACAACTGTTCTATTTGTAGAGGGCAACAATGGTTAACATATCAATTAGGTAAGATTTTACAATTCTTTACACAGGAGAGAATTGATTAACACATCAATTCTTTTCCCAGAGGGAAAAGGAAAACACACATATACAGCAAGGCCAAGTTACAGGTATTGCTATGATACAAACAAAGCTATTTTTGTGAAGAATAGTACAATCTAATACAATCTAATGCAATTAACACAATTTGTGATGGGGCCACCGGGTAGGGAAGGGGGTTGTCAGGAGCTATTACCTCAGGCCTTTGTGTTAAGGCCTTTCAGGACGTTAAAACTTAACCTAGTTAGATGGGAAGGGAAAAGGGGAGGGAAGACAGCAGGTGGGCTTATACAGAACAGACTTTACGGCGCGATAGTTAGGGGGCCTTAGGTTATAACAATGCCACTTGCTAAGTGACTGCTTCCCCATTCGTCCCTGATCTATTTTACCTGAACAATTAATCTTATTGGTTGACCATAATTCTGTCCCCCTTCATGTCCCTCTGTCTTTCGAGTTCCCAGTTTTCCCCGCTTGGACCTGTCTTACCTCATGGATTTACTCTATAATAAAGTCCCTAGAAAAGACAGAATTTTTGGCAACCCATTCAGGACCTTCTGTCATCTCTCTCTTAAGACAGAAGCTTGCTTTCTCTCAATAAATACTTCTGCTCTTAACCTCCACTGTTCCTAAAATTCATTCTTCAATTTTAGAGAACATGAACTCATACTAGACATACAGTAGGTCAAGAGTTTCATTTGCCTGTATCACCTGCACTGACCATCCTGCGAATTTTGACCTTAAACATTCCTTGTGATTATAACTCCATCCTGAAACAAAAATTTAACTTCTCCTCTGGCCAGCTGCTGAACTCATTTACCACCTCAGCTGGTCTGCACCCCTCAGAATAAATCCAGTCTTTAGCTCACATAAAGCCTGCGTCCAAGGCTCGCTGTTAACAGTGGTCCCATTTTCTCTTACTTTGTAACTCTGACTAATCAGCCTATCACTCTATGAAGTTTCCTGAAACACTTTTTAGCAATAACACCACAAGAACCTGCCCAGGGCTGAGTTGAGATCCCACATCCCTTTTGGAGGGACCTTTTCAGAATCCATTCAAGGATAAGTGAAGAAAGATGAATAGGAAAGCCATTTTGGAAAATGGAGAGATGAATATTTGGTTTAAATCTAAGCCACATAGAAAATGCCTATACCAATAATCATGTCAGGAAACAGAAGAGCTGTATACAAATGGAGATCAAATTGTATAAAAATTGCCACAGATTATCCCAGGCGTTGGACAGAGAACTGTAGGATTTTGTTTGCCCTACTGGATTTTGGTCTTACTTTCGTCCCGTTCCTTTCTATCCTCCTAATTCTCCTTTTTAGAATGAGATGTGTATGTTGTGCCATTATATATTGGAAGTATTTACCTTCCTTTTTATTTGTAAAAGGCCTCAGAGCTAAGAATTGCCTTAAATCCAAGAAGGGACTTTGGACCTGGACTTTTCTGCAATTCTCTTAAGACTTTGGCAGCTTTTAGAATGGACTAAATTTATTTTGCACAAAGGGATGTACATGTCTTTTGAGGGCTGGGGTGGAATGTTATGCCTTATATTTAGTTGCCTCCACTCCCACCCCTCACCCCAGTCTTGTGCACTCTCATAAGTGGGGCTTGTGGGAGGTGATTGGATACTGGGTATATAGTACTAGAACATGCACTGCTAGATTAGGTCATTGGTAGGTTCATGGCTAGGTGTGATGCTGGGTGGTAAAGCCTGGTGGGAGGAGGTGGAGGGCATATATATCCCTTCTCCTTGAGTACATCTGCCTACAGCCTGCCATGCCATGAACTGTTTTTCTTTTGCCATGCTGCCCTTCCTTAGAAGCAGTGGACTGTGGCCTGAAACTGTGAGCCAAAATAAACATTTCCTTATTTTAATTTGTGGGTGTTGGTTATTTTGTCCCAGCAATGAGAAAATAACTATTTTAAATGTTCTTTTTTTAAGGGAAACAATATGACTGTCACATTGTATTTACCTAACACACATTGTCAGTGATTAATGGAAATCTTATTGGCTTGGGTATTCAATCAATTTCATTGATTAGATGATACAAAACTGCAATGACCATTTTGACCTTTTCAACTTTAAATTTTTCTATTTTTATTCGTATTTTTCTTGTTCAACTTATCCCCATAATAAACTGTATTCATTAAATACTACAAAGGTGATGATGAACTGGAGTAAAGAGGAATATAAGAGTATTTCTGGATAATCATCTCAAAATGTTTCCCTCAAACGACATTTTGTATGATAAAAATTATTACAATCTGCAGCAAGATATGTTTATACTTTAAAAGGAATTTTAAAGGATTGGGTGTAGTTCATTCTAAGAGCATAGATTTAGTACGCTGAAGGCACTGGATTTAACCTTCAGTAACTAAATAAAATTGAATTTGGTTTTTCAGTTATTAAAGGAAAAAAGCAACATAATTTAGGCTTTCATTCAGAATCGCTGCATGGTAGACATCTGCCAACACCTTTTTCTTCTTCTTTCCACTAAAACTAACTTCCTCCTTTTGATTAACAACTTCTTGAAAACCGTGGGCTCCATTTGTACAGAATAAAGTTTCACTGGCACACGCTCTACCACCAAGTAGCTACAACCAGTCACTGGTGTTTCTTACCCATTCATTTACCTGGTATCTTGTATTAATAGGACTTTAGCCATTAATTAATTCGGTAGTAAATTACTGATATTTGAAGTTTTGCAGCTTAGGTTTTATAAGATTCATGAATAAAACAATAAATTTTAAAACAATGTAATTTTATTGTTTAGGTTTTGGATTTTTAATATTTTGAGATAAGAGTCTTGCTGTGTAATGCAAGCTTGCCTTGTACTACAGGTCTCACTAGTCCTGAACAATCCTCTGGCTCACAAAATACTACTACTTTTTCATTCGTGTGGCTTCAGATCCAATAAATTTTCCTCTCAAACAAAAGTTGACACGCACTTTCTATTTTGATGTAAACAAACAAAATAAAACCACGAGATAATTCTTATCTCTTTCCCTTTATCCAACAAGAATTCAGAAATTAAGGCATTTCCCCTTACAGAGGCTCTAGAAGATGCAACCAAGCATGGCACAGCAGATCCAGAAATTTACACATCTTACAACAAAAATTCAGAAAATCAAAATTTGACGAAATTCTTCGTTCACTTCTGTACCACTTTTCATCAAAACACACACACACACCATCACCACCACAAACGCTGGAGGAATGCTGGCTGCATGATAAAGTGGCTCCAATGCAGAACCTGACAATCATTAATATCAAAGGATGGCCTCTGTCAAAAGGCAACTCCCGAGAACAAAAGTTTAACAGCAATTTCCCAGCAAATGACTAGATTTCTCTCAAACTAGATAGTCGGGGAGGAATCTCCTCTTCCCTTCCATTACCAGCTTTGATACCTTTCTGAATCTTGCAGCCCATCGGCCAGCCCACTTTACCCATAACGGGGGTTGACAGACGCTTTCGGAGCCAAAGATTACTGAAATACCTGTCCGAAACCACAGAATCAAGGGTGTGGCATCAAAGCCCCCTCCAAGCCCCAAAACGATCAACAAACCAAAGCCAAAACCACAATCGCCTAGTTCTCCCTAGCCAGGATGAAACTCAGGCTCAGGAGACTCGTCTTTTCCAGGAAGCGAAAAGGCGCAGTATCTCCTCCCCCTGGTTCCTCCTGTACCTCTTTCCTCTCCCCTAAAATCTCCCTCACAAGTACTGGCCATTATATGTTTTTTCCAATCACCAAAGAAACCCAAGCCACACACAAGATGGCAGCCACATACCTACCGAAAGAAACAAGTGCGCCACTCCAGCAAAGCGGGCTTCTAGACTCCGAGTAACCCGATTGGTCCATCTAAAGAACGCGAGATAAGAAGAGAGCATTGACAACCAATCAGAAGGTGGCGCGCTCGGTACTCTGCGGCAGTGTCGGGTATCCGTCGGGTGAGTCACGGAGGCGCGGCTGGATTAGGGAGTGTTACTATTGGGTTCCAGAGAGATCGTGATGGGGACGGTTTCGCTTTCTACTCAGGTTTCGCTTTCTGCTCGTTCCATTTAGAGAACGTATCACTGGGAGCCTGAAGGGTAGAGGTTGTGCTCTGCCCTCTATTGGGCTGAGGTGAGATCTAACAAGTGGTGAAGTGCTTCTCGGCCAGAGGGCACGAGAGGCCTGAGGTCTCCGCGGCCGGAGTCGGAGAAGAACTCGACTCGCGGGCGAAATCAGCTAGTTAACGGAGTGGCAGAGCGCCACCCTCAGGTGTGGCGGGCGGCGTGGAAAACCCTGTGGAGTCCGCGTTGCCAACTCGGATTCCTCGACGATTCCTTTAGCCAGGGATTGGGAGGATCTGGGAGCGCCGCCGGGCCCTCGATGGCCTGAGCAGGGACCGCGCGCCTGCCGGTGCAGCTTCCCCTTTCCATGCTCTGTCACTCGCGGTCCGGGACTGGAGGAGCCGCGAGCGCCCTGAGCTAGCAATCCCTGGTTCATTCTGTATCTCCTGGTTATTCCTAAGCAGCTGGGAGGGAACCTGAAGCTGCAGAGGGAACTGCAAGAAATGGACTGCAGTGTAAGCTCCAGAGGCCAACTTGAAGCTTTAACCATTGACCCATTAGGTAAGATTACACGAGCGCCGAATAAGTGAAATCATTTATCCTGGAGTTGCAATTAGATCATAAGAGTTCCTATCTTACGTCACCCACAACTCAAGTATTTAAAATACAGAAATATAGGAATCCACTGCTCTTTGGCATGTGGCCACCTGCAGTGTTCGTTACTGTAGGGGCGGAAGGAGGACCGAGCGGAGAGTGGAGACTTTGAGGTGATAGAATGTTGGAGTATTCAAAACACAAGCTTTTGAAATCAAGTCTGCTACTTAAAGGGTGACATCCCTTACCTTCCTCACTGGGAAAACCAATTTTCCTACTGACTGCTATATGAATTAAACAAGAGCATAAGAATTTAGAAGGTGCCTGACCCGTGATTTTTACTCAATAAATGTGCATTACTATTATGACTAAAAAGAAGGAACCGATAAATGCTCAGGGTGTCTTACCCTCCCCCTTTTTTAAACCAAAAAGCAACTCAACATTGAAGCAAAGCATAGTGAATTATTTCTTCCAAAATTAAAAAATGAGAAAAAACAAATTTGAAAAATCTCACTCTGAAATAATAGCACCGTCTGTCTCTGAACGATGTTTGTGAATGATTTACATTTTCTTTATGCTTAATTTTCTTATGTGGGTCAAATCTCAGAAAATATGAACGCTTGTGAAAAATTTTTAAAGTAACGCACTAGACCAACATCAAATTTTTTAGTTGTTTTTGCCCATTTGATGGCTAAATTCAAAATCTTCTCTTACTTAAGGTTGAAATGCCTGTTCATACATTCTCTAACTGATAATTTATATAAATTCATAGAATTTCTCTTAAAACCTTGTTTTTCTATAGAGTCATCCCAATTTAAGTGCTTTACATATGTGACTTGTATCATTTTAAAAATCTGGGACTGGAAATTTAGCTCAGTGGCATAAGCGCCTGCCTGGCAAGCACAAGGTTGTGAGTTTGATCCCCTGTACCAAAAAAACAAAAAAAAAAACAAAAAAAACCCAAAAATCTGTTCAGTGTGATTATCCCTTTTCTTGGATTTTACTGCTAAAACATGTTAGACTTAATCTCTTGCATGGCCTTTGACTTTAGTTTTTATTTATTCTACAAATAGATTTTTCTCTTTGAGTTTTCAGCCTTAAAAAAAAATCTTTACTGTATTTCTCCAAGACTATCAACACCATATTGAATAACTGCAGTGATGCTGATTGCCCTCATGCTGTCTCTGACTAATGAAAATGCATCTAGTCCATTTTTTTCTTTTTTCTTTTCTCTTTTCTCTCTTCCCTTTCCTTTTTTTCTCTTTTCTTTTATATTCTTTTCCTTTTTGGTGCCAGGTTTTGCTAGATAGCCCATATCAAATTAAGCAAGTTCTTTTGTAGTCCTATTTTGCTAAGCATTGTTTTTCCTCCCCAATATAGTGATATTTATTGAATTGTTTTAAGTCACAACTTTATACAAATTCGTCTAGTAATATTGCAATTAGTATCAATAAACTTTTTGGCTATTCCTGGGATAACCCCATTTATATAGTATTGCTAGATAATTTTTAATATTTTTGCATTTATAGCCAGAAGTAACTTTGCCCTTGAGGTTGTTTTTTCACTTGTTTGTCAAGGTTATACTAATCTTGCAGAAAAAGATGTGTAGCATCTCATATTTTTCCTGCTTTGTAATAGTTTTGTTTATATAAATTTCTATAATTTCTTTTAAAAAACCTGTTTTTCAATTCAGTCATCTTAATATAAGATCTTTACATGTGTGTCCTATATAATTTTAATAGAAATTATACATTCCTTTAAGTTTTACATACAATTCATCTTTAAACCTTAAAGCTGGTGTATTGGGAATGAGGGGTGAGATGTATTGACATGTCCCTCTGGTAAGATATTGTCTCAATTTTTTACATACTTAATTCATCTTGGAATCTTTATGGATCAAATTCACAACCTCATGCTTGCCAGGCAGGCACTTACACCACTGAGCTAAATCCCTGGCCCAAGAGATCTTTACTTCTTAAATCTACTTAATAGTTTGTATTTTCCTAGAAAATTGTTCAGTTTTATCTAAGTATTGCCATAAAACTGTTTGAACCTTAACATATTTAAAAATCTCATTATCGTTCACTTGTTATTTTTGTTGTTTTCTCATATCTTTTGTATGTTATCCTGTGGATTTTTCACCAGTTTCTCCCCTCACCCCCACTTCCCCCAGTACTAAGGACTGTGTCCAAGGCCCCAGTACTTTCTGTGCCCCCAGGTCTTGCTCCCTTGCCCTGGATAGACTTGAACTTTGGATCCTCCTGCCTCAACTTTCCAAAGTGCTGATAATGTAGGCATGCAGTATCCCCCTCAGCTGTTTTTCCCCCACTTCCTACTTGAATGGTTTCTATACATTTCTAAATTGCCTAGGCTGGGTTTGAATTTGCGGTTTTCCTGCCTTAGCATTGTGGAATTCTGAGATTATAGGGATATGCAAACACACTCTGGTTGATTTTCTTTATGAAGTACTTATCCTATTTCTGTCTCTGGGTGACGCTTTGAGTATCAGTAGAAATCTAGTTTTATAGTATCGAAAAATACCTTGGCTAGAAATGGAATCACAGGTTCATACTTATTTTCCTGTAACATTTTGCATTTGGCATTTCTGGTGAGAAGCTTCATTACCAGTCTGATATATGTTCCTTTTAGATAATATAGATTTTTACCGAAGTTTGGAAGATTCTTATTTTTGCTACTTTCCAGTACATCACAGATTGTCTAGTGGCATATGTTAATCATCTTGGACTTAGAGGGCTTATGTTTTCTAGTTTCGAGACATTTTTGATCATGATGTTTTGTATTTCCTCTTGTTTTCTTTGTGTTCTCCAGGAATTATTGAACTAAATCTTCCAGGTTATTAATTTTTTAGGTTATGTGATTCTTCAGGAAGGTCTATTCTGTCATACTAAATTTATTGAAACAACTATTATCTATGGTGTTTAATTACTTATTTTTTGGAATTGTATATTATTTCATAGATGAGGTTTCCTTCTTTAGATCTTTGAGGATATCAAATACAATAATTACTTAAAATTATTTGCAGAATTCTCTAGTTTACTCTTATTAAATCTCATCAATCTGGTAAGCTTGTTGTGTTTCTTTTTATGCTGTACTTTCTTCAGATTTCAGGTACTCTTGGTTGTGCCTTTGTCTCCTTTGTGTGGTTTCCTGCCCATCCTTTTTCATTATTATTAAGATTGGCATTACTTTTGTAGCTTTCCTTTTTAATTTTTTTTTTACTACCGGGGATCGAACTCATGACTGCCTGCTTGCCAGGCTGGTGCTTATGGCACTGAGCTAAATCCCCAGCCTTCCTTTTGTAGCTTTTATCTGCTTACTTTCCCTAGATAGGCTTTACAGATTTTGTAGATAAGATATTTTTATGTTGACCATCACCATATATATATATACCATATGTATATATATCCCCCTTGGTATCAGGGATCGAACTCACAACCTTGCACTTGCCAGGCAGGCGCTCATGCCACTGAGCTAAATCCCTGGCCTACCATGGCCGTATATGTTTAAAACTCTTGTATTATTTTTATAGACTGATGTGGAAGTGGTAGAACTTATCATGTGGTGACTTAATATTTTGAGAGTGTAGGTTTTTGATCCCTTTTTTTTTTTTTTCTGGTAATTTTCGTTTTTATCGGTACCAGGGACTAAACTCACGACTGCCTGCTTGCAAGGCAGGCGCTTATGTCGCTGAGCTAAATCCCCAGCCCCCTTGATCCCTTTTTGACCGTTTAGTTCTGCCACTAGGTGTATATCTTATGGAAATAATCAAGACATACATAAAGTATCTTTAATCAGGATTATTCATTATACTGAAAAAAATTTCAAAAAGTTAAAAGAATCTAAGTGTCCAATATAGGGGTTTATTTATGTTACTCCTTATTAAAATTTATTCATAAAAATCTTTAATGAGTGGATTATTGGCCAAAATATATTATGTAGCCATTTAGTCATAAAAATATTAATGAAAGTATAGAATGTTATTGGTGAAAGTATGAAAATTTATATTCACTAAAATTCAAATTTTATTTTGAGATTATATACTGAAAGAATGTTAATTGCTGGCATTTGTTGAATCCTTCACATCTGTCAGGCAATATTCTAAACAGTTAAGTCATATCTCACCACAATTTGTAGGGCCAAAGGTTTAGCTTAGTGGCTTAAGCACCTGCCGTGCAAGCGTCATGAGTTCAATCCCCAGTACAAAAAAAAAAAAAAAAAAAGTTATGTTCCTCACCACAACTTATGAGGCAATATTATATCCCTGTTTAGACGGTTTTAAAGTCCTTGTAATATAGGAATTGTTTAATTGTTGATTAATTGTATGTGTTAATTGCATTAAATGTTTGGTAGAATTACGGTTAATTCTTGGTAATTTTGATATTTTGCATATTTTTTCCATTTAATTTGTATTCTTTTGTAATGATTCATGTTGTTTTAAAAGATAGAGTTGTTTATAACAGTATCTGTTTTTCTTTGTATGTTTTGTGCTTTACAAACTTATATCATTCTTTATTGTTTTCTTTACAGAATGTTTCATGCATTGTGGATCAAAAATGGAGTTGGTTTTAAAAAGATACTGTCAGTGATGTGATATACCTATTAATACTCACTTGATGAAAATACATAGACCAACAACTTTGGTTGGGACTAGTAGCCCATCTGAAGTTCTTCAGCCAGTTTCTATTTGAAAATTCAAGTACACTATGTGTTAAATACAACACTGTGATATTTGAAATGGAATAATGATTTTATCTGTTATGGAGACAATTGTTGGATTCCAGTTATCAGAGTGATTCATGTCATTCAGTCCTGATAAATTTAATTTTGAAGAATTTTATATCTATAAGCAACATCAAAAGATGGGAGAAAAAAATGGTAGGTTGAAGAATATATGTTAAATTTAATGTTTAAAATTTATAGCAAGCTATATTGTGAAATTTTCAAGG